TTTTTCTGTGATACTTTGTGCTGCAATATGTAAAATAATTAGTTTGTAATGTTGTCAAGCCGCTTTGACCTGTCAGAAAGTTGGTTTGTATAGGTTGTCTCTTTGAAAACGGGGCATGTTTGTGCATTCCTATTAATTTAATGATTTCAGTGCTTAGAGGAAACAAAATTTGTTCTTCATCATAATTAGATAAAGATAACCGAAAATAGTTGCAAATAACGCTATTTTGTGGAAAATAATTCTTTGCCATTATCTTTTTCTTTTTTCACAGACTTTAAAACGAAAGGAGACCGTCAACATATGAATGACAATCTAATTGATCATGTGAGCGCTTTGTTACGATATGTTATGGCATTTGTTACACAGTTAAGTAACTATGTACCAAGTCCAGAGTTTACAACTGCTGTTCAAAACCTGGGCGACCGAATCACTGCTGTTCGTGCCAATCTTTCAGACAAATTTTTCATCTTAGTTGGAAAACTTACAGGCTTAGAAAGGAGAATTGAGAGTCTAGAGGATCGTTATGGGAACATTAATAATAACACTCAATTGTCTGTAGATGGTTCCTCAATGCGTGAAAGGATTGCGACCCTCGAGCGGCAAGCAAGAGATAATTCATTCATTATAGTACAGTTTTACGAGCGTTTCGGCCATATTGACGAATCACTTGCGCGAATTCAAGACATGGCTGACCAAGTCCCTGCTTTTTTTGTCAATCTCTTTGAAAAAGTGGAAATTTTAGAGCGTGAAGTGAGAGCTAATACATCTACTATACAATGGACTAGCGAGCGTTTGGACGAGGTAGACGAATTACGTGTGCAAAATCCGGTTATGGGTGCACAAAATGAGGCGCGCGAACTTTGATGAAATGATGCAAAGCAATTATTGCTAATTTTCGTAATTACTTGCCAATATATTGTTAGTTTTCACTCCTGTAAATGATTTTTATTTTATTCAGTTTTGTACTTTAGTAGTTTTGAAGAATGTTCATTGTATTTTTTATTGTATCGTTCATCCGCGATGATAGAATATCCTTTTAAATTAATAATACAATTGTGTTGATATTATGCTATATTGTATTGTAAATGTAATTTAACATGCAGCTTTGATATAGCAAGATCATAAAATGATGTCCGTTTATTTGTAATTTATATTACTTTGATTTTTATCTGAAAAACTCCATACATAAATAAAGAGTCTGTGAAGAGTTACCGTTTCTATATTCTGTAAGTAGAATTAAATAAATTAAAATGAAATTGCTAATTAAATGTAGCGTAAGCGAAAAAATTAAAAATCTGGTCCCATATTTATTAAGGTGCATGTGTATGTGATAATATTGTCAAACTTGCCAATACAATTTATACATGTTTGTAAATGTAGATCGTCAAAATATTGAAGTGAGTCACTTCATTTGACTCTGAAGATGACTACCGCTAAGGTTGTCGAAACGTCAGTCAACAACAACAAAAACAGTCCTTCTCAGGACTATACCAACCTGGACGATCTACATTCAAGGGGGGTGTTTACATGAATCCGGAATGAGTTTCCATCCGGAATGAACTCGTTCCACTTTAAAAGAAATCCTATTGCATGTTTACATGAATCCGGAATGAGTCACAACTCGATCCGGATCTAGTTCATTCCTAGTTTCATTCCGGATCGAAATTTACTTTTTATCTCATGTAAACGCGAATTGAGTTTCATTCTGGTATGATATTGTGATTAATGACGAAGCACGCATGTGCCATGGGTATTGTCTTCTGGCAAATTGAAGCTCGTAAGTAAATAAAGAGGCTAAATGGGGTAAAATGAGTGCGAAGAAAAACAACAATTAGTTTCATGTAAACACGGATTGACACACGTTTCGATCGGGATTGAAAGTCTTTCCGGATTCATGTAAACACCCCCTTACAAACATGTAACGATACTCCCGGGTTCAAACCATTTACTTTACAATCTATATAATTACATAATTACTTGCTATACAGTAAAAAGCAAATTTCGTAATCCTCAAAACAATATTTAACTTCAGTGATTGCTTAGTTTGAATGTTACATTTTTTGCTTTTAAAAGGTTTTACAAAAATTTAAAAAAATTGCTATCCAATGGAGAACGCTATCCAGACTTCGTGCAACCAGCCCTAGGACTTTAAGAGGAAATCACCACGCATGCCAAGATAAGGAATACGAACCAAGGTTTTAGGTAGATTATCATCTATTGAAGAGCGGTTGTCAATAGGGATAGAACATTGTACTTGGATTTCAGTTTTTTTAAACAAAAAGTTTTTAACGCTGTTAGGATAACCGTTCCAAGACGTGTAAGACTTGATTATTTCATTTTAATTGTTGAAAAGTGCTAGAGAAATGTGAGTAATTTAACATCCTTGGTTGACAGCAAACATTTCTTGGCAAGCATGCTTATGTCAGTATCCTCTACACATCCACCACTGTGATTCTTGTGAAAGTCTGCCATAATTTCAGACGGCGGCGGGCTCCTTATAGCTTTGCCAACTGCATATAAATTTAGCAGCTCTGACACATCGGTGACATAATGCCCATAGCAAACTCCCGTGCATGTTTCGCAATCCTCCACTCCACAAGGTCTCTTTGCATCAGCAACTGGGTAAGGAAAAGAACTACACGATGGTCCGTCTGGATACCAGGAGATGGGAATCGTACTTAATTTCGCGATTAATAGAAATCAATAGTCGCGACTCGCGTACTCAAATGGTATCAAATCCCCGGGGGTATTATTGCCGGAGTAAATACCCGGCTCCCGAGCATCTCTTTTACGAGCAAATTCCCGACCCCCGAGAAAGGTCTCCAGGGCAAATGCCCAGGGGTATCCCGGGGGGATGGTAACGCTTGGATTTGACTCATGCATTAAACGAGCGATATTACACTGAATAATTTATAGAGTGTTTGCATGTGACGTCAAGAGGCCATGCTGGAGTACTACACTAATTGCCTATGTTCAACAAAGCATAAATTTAATGTAAATTCTTTTCACTATGTGCGATTTTTTCCAGTATGGCAACCGATGCAAACCCTCTATTAAAACTATATGTATTCAACAGCGGATTTAGAACATTAAGATTTGAGACAACTGTAGTGTCACTTTTTTGAACACCCCAAGCTTGGAGACCCCCTTTAGACTCTAATTTAGAACAGTTAACACATTAGCTTTGGAAAATGTCCATGCAGGCTCTATTTCAGATAATCTCCCAAAATTATTTGCATTCAGCATTGGTTAAAATTAAAAGCATAGACCATGCAAGTATTGTTCGAATTTGTTTGCCTAAGATGCACTTATACACAATTCTTTATATTACTACATACATTCATATATTACTACATACATTCTTTTTATTACTACATAAACTACAACTGTTTTTTTTCTTTCTATTGGCGTTTAAAGAAACATGATGCTGTTGTTGTATTTTCGAAATTCTATTCACGTATATGCGTTGTGTATTTTTTCAAAGAAAACAGATTTCGTCATTTCGAATTTGTAAACGATGCTGGGAATCAAGATCAGTGGCGAATATCGCAAAAATCCTCTCAAAGTTTATATGTAGTTATCGTCACAACCTCCTTGTCAAGTGACCTCGTGCGGATACTTGTTTTGTCAATCTTGTATGGACATCTTTCTTGGGTAGGGTAAACTTAAAGCAATTTTTGCATAATAATCATCTATAAAAAGTTACTAGCATTGTAGTTGTCATTTGCTCTTTCAATATATGCCCTGATTGTAATGTCTTATCACACATCTCCATGTGGCAGTGGCGAGCCAGCCCAATTTTTTACTCGTACAATGCAAATTTGTCAGCAAAATTATCATTCATTTCTTAAGAAATTAAATCAATTTCTTGTTTTTCAAACGAAAAAATATTTGCATTGGCTACATTAGTCAATTGTCAACCGAATTTTTTGACGTTCGAATTACCTCCTACATGAAATTTTCATGTAAAATTAATTTTTGTCTTTTTAGTCTGACTTGTGCCTCAACCATTAAAATTAAAATTATAATTTTACAAGGAAATTCTTCATTCGCCTGCGCCATTTCCGCTCCACATTTTTATATTTTCCATTGCTCACAATTTCGCCGTGCGCAAATACTAATATATAAGCACAAAACATTAGACAAAACCATTATATTCTAGCAAACTTGATGTCTTTTGATTCCAATATTTGTGAAGTGCAGTGAATTGAAAGTCAATCCAATATTGTTCTTTATGTCTGTGAATGAACAACCTGTCGTGGCTGATTTTCACAGTAAAAAATATCTGCGTGTGAAGTGCTTGCAACAATTTTTTATGCATAAGTTTTGATTAAGCAATATATTTTTAAAACCGCTTTATAAAAATATTTCGAAAAACAATATCATTAAATTTCCTCCAAAAATCTCACTGGGTTGTATCAGGCGTTTTGTGAGATTTGAAACG